AGCAGCCATTTTGGACTTGGATTGTGCATCATCCATCGTGCAAGAACCTTCACAATCACTTCACTCGTGGGCTCCCATGACTTCTCCTCATCGGCTTCTCCTCCATATGATCGAAGGTGTTCGACCATCAGCAGACCGCTTGCTCGGTCTCTCATCATCATGAACTTGTGCTTGCGGCCCTTGTGCTCGTACTCAAAGATGTCTGTCCCAACCACTTCAAAGAGTGTTGGGGTCTCATGCAATGATGCCACAGGCGCTGATTGCGGTCTCTTGGCCTCTTGACAGTCGGGGCACTGCGTGTTCTTGGCTAAGTTCACTGCCCAGGATGGTGCCTTTCGAACTTGTAGGAGGCGAGCCAACGAATGCCATGAGGCATGTCCGGATGCCTTGTGCACTCGAAGTAGTTGGGCTTTGATTTGTTCCAGGGCCTTGCCTGTCGGCGGTTCTTCAGAAAAGCGCTTTCTGGTGACCGCTAGAATTGATGGGTCTTCGTGACGAACCCAACCTTCAGCTCGACTTCTCTCCTTGTCCTCGACTGCTGTGAACAGGCCATAGGTCTCCGCAATCTCGTTGTTGGCACCGTCATCAACCTCATTGATGTACCAGGACACGTCCGAAGCCAAAGAGGTTCCGGCCTTCTCGTCCATACGTGTCCAAGAGGCATTGATTGCCTTGGTCACCGCCCGCACCATCTGCTCTGGGTAGTACGATGATGCCTGAGCCACTTGTCCACGGCAGTGGACGTGATCAAGGTGACCCGGACACTTCTTCTGCAGTGCCAACCAAACTTCACGGCATGTAGTGGCCACTGTCCAAGACTTCTGAACTGGATGTCCTCGCCACTGCAAACCATATGCACAGCCGTGGAAGTGACACCAGTAAAGTCGCCGACCATGTCGGCGCGCCAATCTCTCAAGCCGTTGAATGGCGTTGGATCTCCAGCCCTTCTTGGCTCCTGTTGGCCATTCCCAACTCACATCATCTCCAGCCTCTAGCATGGGCTCCACCGCCTGCACCACCTCATCTGCCCTGCGAAGATCTCGGCCTTGACGCTTCTGGAATGCAGCTTCCTCCACCTCATTCCTCATAGTGAGGTTGACCAAGCCTGTCAACCTTGTGCATGGCAAACTGACCCATGCATGGCGTGGCCGCTTCTCCTTGATCATCTGAGACAGGGCTGTGGTCCCGGACTTCTTCTCCAGGTCATAACCACTCTTGAAGTTCACCCTCGTGCAATGGTGTCCAAGCTCCTCCATTGCCGTAGTCATTGAGGATGTGGGTGAACACGCAATCTCAACAAAATCTGTCCCACTCGAGAGCTGTCCAATGAGCCCTCGAACAGACATCACCATCATAGCACTCAGCATTGCTGAGTTGGCTGCCAGCTTTCGTGCCGTTGAGGGTGGCACTCCATGCTTCTTTCCTCCTCCAGGACCTGGAAGTGGCAATTGCTCCTCCACCAAGTTGCCCTGATGCCGACTGGCGCTATCATCTCGATGGCTGCCTTGAAACTGAATGGCACTTCGGGGTTGACTTGATGGACTTCCATGCTCATCCACTGGAGTCGTAGTGCTCGTAGTGCACGTGGGTGTCGTGGGGCTCTCAACCGAACCCTTCAGCCTTCGCTGGAGACTCTTCAGTGCTGCCCAGATGCCGCCGAGCCCCCGTTGGGGATCGCCTTCTCCTCCTCTGATGAGAGGATGTCCACTGGCTCCGTCATCTTCTTCTTGGAAGTCTTCATCCTGCCCTCGGTCTTGACCGGCGTCTTCGGAAGTTCTGGTGCTTCCTCGGCTGCCTTGGCAATGTGGGCTTCCACTGCAGCCTTGAATTCCTCCGGATCGAGGGAGTCCATGCCAGTCTTCTTGAGCAGGTATTCCGCGGCGGCCATGCGGATCAGGTCGTACTGGGCAATCCCTGATTCCTCGCTCTTCTTCTTCGGACTTGCCTCGTTTGGCGCTGAGGATTGCGCTTCCGGCAGCAATGTCTTGCTCTCCACCTGGGCTCCCATCTGCTTGGCATACTCCTGGAAGGTGAGGTTGATTGCCATTGTCTCCGTCAGACCTCTCTGCATCTGGAGGCCCTTCAACTCCATCACCTTGCCCATGACGATCTTCTCCGTGCAGTCGTCCGCTGACATTGACTGCTGGAGCTGATCCAAAGCCAGGCGAACCAAATTCGGATGGGGTCCAGCAGACCTTGTCTCCCCATGGCCCTTGGGCTTGACCTCGTACGTCAGCCTGAGTCCACAGCGAGCGCATGTCGACCAGCTCGCGAACTGGTTCTGCCGGATCTTGCCCGTCTTGTGGCGTGCATTGCATGGCCACTCGGTCAACCGTGGGTCTTGACTGCCACATGGTTGGAGACGGCTGCTTTCCATCACGAAGCCGGAGTTGAAGATCTCTCAACCTTTGAGCCAGATCGCTAGTAGGCATGGAAGGTGAAGTGCAAGATGCTGTGAACATGTAGATGCCCTTGTCGGGTTCATTTAACTGCTCATCAACTGCCGGGGTAGGTGTCATTGTTGCGAACCACATGTGGGGGTTCTCCATGACTGTGGCTGTTTCAACCAAATCCAAAGAAACATGGTGCGTGTGGTGAGCTCCCATCTTCACTGCATACCACGAGGTCTTCTGAGGATCCTGACCTCGATAGATGAAGAGGTCGTTGTCGTAGGCCAGCATGGCCCCAAGCTGCCGCAAGGTCTTGCCTCCGAGCAGTGGTGGAGTCTGAGTTGCATCATGGCCCAAAACGTAAAAGCTCACTGCACCAATCGAAGTCCCTTGGATGTCCGCTCGGCTCAATGCCTGTGCCTGGTGTCCGTTCCCAAACTTGAACACTGGTCTATCATGAACACGGACAATGAATGAAACTGCACGGCCTTCCCAGAACTCTTCCCGGATGAACGACCAAATGAGCTGCGGGCGAACGATTTGCCACCTCCTTTGGAAAACCTGTCAGGGCAGTCCTTATAGCTGTGACCTTGCATTCCGCATACGAAGCACGGACCAAAGCTCCTGCCCTTGCCACCTGAATTGCTCTTGCCGCCAAACGACTTGCTTTTGCCCTTGCCCTTACCAATGCCCTTCGTTGCTGAGCCCTTGCCTGTCGCCGACTCTGCCGCGAAATAGCCACGTGCTTGACGCACACGACGAACGGCATCTCGTGCTTCAGCCAAGGTTCGATTGGCCTCACCTGCAAGGGCGTAAGCCTCACGTAGTTGCTGCTCTGCTGGATCCTGACCCTCTCCATGAGGAATGGACTCATCTTCAACGGCCCACTCCCACTCGCCAGCGTCATCCTGCCAGTCTGAGGTCCAGTTCCAGTATGCTTCTTCCTCACCATCTTCCCATGATGAGGGACCTGGATCGTGCTCCCAATCCCATGGCGCTTCATCGAACTCATCCCAACCAGCATCTTCCTGCTGCCACCAGATCTTGGGCTTGCGGCCCCAATGTTGCGATTCTTCTTCCTCTGCAAACAATGTCCGCAATGCCCGACGAATCTGGAGGAAGCCGGTGCTATTGCCCGTTTGGGTCAATATGTTTTGTTTCTCTGAACTGGTCAGCTTCGCCGCCTTCAACAGGCGATACCCCCTGAGCTCGTCCTCGAAGAAATCAGGCATATAGGCGGGCTGAGCCTGAGGTGTGGACACCACAGGATCAGTGCGCTCACGCTCAACAAACCGCATCCCAGCCATTGGACTCTGTGAAGGCGTTGAAGGTGGTCCTCTTCCAGTGACTTCCTGAATCATGGGAGGTGCCAACAATCCCCGGTCTTCCCGAGCCCTAGTCAGAGCAGATTGTAACTGCACAAACATGTCCTCCTCTCTGACTAGAAGCTTGGGGATTGACTCACCGGGCAACCGCTTCAACATGTGCCATGCATCAAGCCGCTTGAAACTGTCTGCAATGGGCAATGCTTGTAGTGGAGATTTCCTCAACACATCAACAAGGCGTGATAGCCCATCATCAGCTTCATAGTCATCGGGATCTAGGTGCCGAACCACTGCACGTGCCGGTCCGGTCAACCTCGCCCAAGTCCGACTTGCTGCTTGCTGCCTCTCTGAGCTCTTCAATGACTTTTCATACCAGCGGCATGCTGTAGCGAATGCTTCAAACTCAACAGGGTCTCCTGACCAGGTCGGGATTTCAGCTCCTTTGTCAAGCACCATGGCGGGAGCCCCCAGGAAGGGGCTCCGCTACCATGAACTTGGTAGCAACTCCAATCAACAAGCTATGGGCCTGCGCCCTCAACCAACAACTGTAGTCAACCAATGTCAACACAACCAAAGCTATCACCGTCCGATGGTGAACAACCACAATGCACAACCGAAGTGCGTCAGCGATCGTTTTCCGCTCACATGGCTCGAGTCGTCGACGATGCCCTCCCTGACAAGATCAAATGGCCACGGATGAGTCCACATGCTCAACATGCTCAAATGGGTCTGACATGCCTTCTAATCTCACAAGTATGAAACATCCAAATGACCTCCAACATCCAACACAACTGGTCCATTCCAACCACAAGCAACATAGATTCAAACAAGGTAGGCACCTCCGTGGAGAACAAAATCGAGGCACGAGCAGTACCCTTCAGATGTTTCAACTACCATTACGTTGTAAACGGCCCTACCTGGTCTGAGCGATATAATTGTATACATACATCAGGGAATTGCCCGATCAGACCAGGTAGGGCCGTTTACAACGTAACATCGGTAGTTGAAACATCTGAAGGGTACTGCTCGTGCCTCGATTTTGTTCGCCACAGAGGCGCCTACCTTGTCTATAATGTAGAGTTTGCATACAACATGCGGGCTTACGACTGGAAGACCTCCCCTCGCTGAAAGCACCCATCTTCTTTGCGGGAAGCAACCCTATAGGGATCCACATTTCACAAAGGCTTTCGGTGACATAAAGTCGGCATCATCGCCTCTTCAGGTGGTGGCACACTGGATCCCTAAACAGGAAAAGCACACACAAAATCAAGCAATACCAGGGCACGGAAGCCTTTCAAGAGAAGCCAAACCAGTCCAGAAGCACCAGAAATACGATGCAAAGTGGCTTCATTGACCTTGAGCCATCCACATTGACCTGGCGACGTTCTGACCAAAAACTGTTGAAGGAAGGACCATATCAAGGCAGGAAGACTTTGGGAGTTGAGACTTGCTGGCGACTCTTACATATAAAACAAGTATAGATCTCAGAAAAAAAAAGTAAAAGTAAGTACTGCGAGGACAGGTTTTAGAAAATCATTTACTTACAGGGAAATCTTCCAGCAAAAGTCGCTGGGCAGAAGTTTCAACCAGTACGGCGATGTGGTGGACGGGATGCGTTGATGCGTTGATGCACCATGCATTGAGACTTGTAAGTGATGATGTGTGATGCGATGCTTTGCGGCGATCTCTCTGCGCGATGGATGTGTTGCAGTGGTTGGATGTGTCAAAAGTTCACTGTGATCACGGTTCCTGAGTGAAATGAGCGAGTGAAAGAGTGATGACTCGGGATGACTGAAATCTTTCGAGTTGTTGAATGTTTCGTTGGCCTGCCGCAAACCATTCCGATAAAACGTTTTGGCCGTGAACCCGTGATCGTTGTATTTGCACAACCTCTATAGTGTCCGCAGGGCCACGCGCATCTGCCATAAGCAGTGCCATAAGCAATGTTCTCTGCAGGTATGTTTCATTGTTTCGAGCAATTATGTAGAAAGTTCAGTGTGTTTAGACATGTTTACTTTTTATCAGCATGCAGGAAATGTTGTCGATAGATGGAAAACAGGACGTGCTTCGTTCAGTATATATATATATTATACTGTCATCGATGGTGCTTGGCATGGTCGTGTAGCGGAAAGAACATGGGTGGGGGGCGGCATATCACCTCGACGCTGGTTAGGTGGATCTAGATTCATGGAACAGGACGTGCTTCGTTGGTTTCATATGATATATATAGTATCGTCGATCGTGCTTGGCATCGATGTGTAACGGAAGGAACGTTGGTTTGGGGGCATTGAGCCAACTTGGAGATACTTGGTTTTCGCTTTAGCTTTAGTAGTTTTTTGGAACAGCTTTGCTTTCGGCTTTGCTTTGTTGGCTGAAAGTGTCATTGTTAAAGACTATAGTACGTAAGTCTTGCTATCAGTGTTATTTGTGATGGGTGGGGATCAGTCTGAAGCTTCAAAACAGATTGGTACTTGCTAGACGCTTCAGCCTCGTTCGAACGGTTTCATGATGCGTCTGACGGACGCACACACACACACACACCTAAATCAATAAATCATATGGGCGCAAAGCAGATTTTCCCAAGAACTCTGCTTTTCAGGCCCCTCATCAACAAAATTGATTCTTCAACACACACAAAAAAAAGCAATCACCATGTAGTTGTTACCTGGCACACCGTTGTTATTTTGCACGGTATGACACAAATAATAGAAACATGTGCGAAGTTCCCTCCACAAAACAAACACTCTGGATGCACAGTGCACACTGCAGGAGTTGCCAGAAGCTACTTCGCACCACAAACTGGCCAGTACTACACTCATACTTATACCAACTCGGAAGAATCTCTTTAACATGTCCTTTGATTAAACTAGTTTGCCCTTGTACCTTTTGAGTGATTACATCGTCATCCTCTAAACACTATCGTCATACAATTCTCTGCATCACAGTCCATGTTGCGCGCGTTATAAAGTTCTCATGTCTCCTGAGTTCCCAGACCTGGAAGTTTCACAGTCATCTTGTGAATCAGCTTCTGCTCGAGATTTGGATCCATCAAGGCCAGCTCCACAAAGTTCCGCACTAAACTCCGCAGCTTCTCCCAGTCGGTAGGTTTCACCAAACTTCGAAGGCTTGGCATGGAGCTCCCGCTCCCCTGCCCGCGCCCGCGGGCATGAGCCAGATCCGACTCAGCCTGAAGGGGCGGATGGAGGGTCGGAAGGACAATTAGAAGAAAAATACCTTTCCAAACAAGAAGACTCTATTTGGGATGTATGTGTGTGTGGAATACACCTTCTTGGGAAGGGCAAGGAGCCATTCCATGGCCAGCCACGAAAATTGATTCAACAAACTCGGAGCTTGCTGGCCTCATCCTTCCGCTCGAAGTTTAAATGTGCTTGTTGAACATCCTGAAACTCCGTCTCCACATCCAACAACAACGTCATTTCGCGCAACTCAGGACACATGTGAGCACATGAACTGCGGCCTGAACTTTCAGAGGTTTGCGAAGCGGATGTTCCTCCAGAGGTTCTGGAATGAGTGGCATGTTGTAGAGGTTCTTGGACTCCTGTCGTATGCAGGAGCTCTGCAGGCACTGCATCGGCTGAGGCTTCAGGATGGGGCCTTGATTCAGGATCTTCTTTGAAGGCGACAAGGTGATAGGGCTCATTGGCACCAAAGAGCCCTGGCACCGGCACATGGTAAACATCCGCAGCCACTCCAATTCCAGCGGACCCACGAAACGACACGCGGGAGCAAAAAGGAGGTGCTGAGAGTTCAGCACCAAAGGCGTTTGTCGAAGCCTCAATGAACTCGCGGAAGCGCGGCCGCTCACCATCTGCCAACAAGTTTTCAAACGATCTGCCCTTCAGACTCACATCCGTCAAGATCAGGTGCTTCAGGCACTCGCCTGGTGGGGCAACCAGAAAAAAACAGTGTTTTCAGTTATTTTTTCAAGTAGGTGAAGAACAAACGCACCTTACAACCCAACAGCAGGTAGCAACTCAGTTGTTACTGGAACCCTCCAACTATGCGCTTTGTGTTTGCTAAGGCTGCCAAGGTTCCCAAACCAAGTCCAAATGCTTTTTCCGAATCCAGAGGGAGCTGGGAAGACAGAACCCAGCAGCAGGCAGCAATTCAAATGACTGGCGTTTTCCAACACTCCAAATACACCCAGGAAGAGACCCACATGGAACCTGAAAATGGACCTTTGGAAGACGATGTTCCTGTACAGCCCAATGGTTCTCAGGTTCCATGCTAATCTTCCAGGGTCTATGTGTTGCAGGGAGCTGGTGAGCAAGAAAACTATGTAACATGGCTGTGGGTCAAAACCCGGATCCCCAAACCAGGGTATGTTGACCCCCTTAGTAAGTCCGTTCTGTTCATATCCTCTGACTCACCCCAGATTTGCACCGCAACGGAGGCAGAAGGTACAGCACATGTGGTTCTTTTGTGCAGACACGTCCCGCTTGCCTTGCTGCGTGCAACTGCTCGCTTGCCTTGCTGCGCATACAACCTGTTTTGCGCTGCGTAGAAAGATAGGGACTGCAAATGCAACATGAGTGCGCGCCAGGAACGCTTTGTGTGGTGCAGACATGATGCGCAGAGTTACTGCCGCGAACACACAGTTCATCCTACACTAAAACCACAACATGGCCATCAAGCCAACGAGCTGCTGCAGTCAGCCTGCCGCGCGGTGAGGTCTCGGCAATCAGCCCGCTTTCCCGGAAGACTATGAATGGCGCCCCGCCCACGCTGAAAAGAGCTGCCCCTGGCGCTCTCGGCTGCAGCTGGAACCAACGCCACCCAAGGCCGATCGCAGCAACCCACCCAACAGCACCCAGGGTTTCAAGGTCAAACGCCAATCACGCGGCCTAGACTAGCTCCTGGACTAGCTCCCGGTGGAGGTCCGATCGCAGCACCGAACAAAAGCACGCCCTTGCTGTGCCCAGAACCCAGATTCCAAGGTCGTCACATCACACACGGTACCAAACAGGGCTCCACACAGCACGCAAGGGTTCGAAGGTGGGAAGTCATCCAGGCTTACAACGCGCATCCATCCGATCACACTGGACAAAAGTCCAAACACCGCACGTCTACGCTCGCCCGATGCTTCAGCACGGGTTCCAAGCACCATCCGGGAGACGAAACCGGTGGAAGTCCGATCACAACACGCTGCCACGGTTCAGCCCGATCAGGTCTGCAACTGCGGTTTCCAGGGCTCAAAGCCGTTCATTCCGGAGCTTCCGGAGTTCCAACTTGAGGTGCAGACCACTTCTGCGTAGCAGATTGCAACCCGTTCGGAATCAACGGAAAAGTGGAGGGAAATGAAAGGGCCACACATGAGAAATGCTGGACACCTCGTTGCACCATCTGGCGCTGTGACTTTGAGACCATGCCCTGCCCCTGCCCCGAGGCAAGCAACACCCGACGCACGCAGTGGTCCGATGCAAAGGAACCCCAGGGCAGCGTGATTCGATGTTCAGTGACGGCACCCAGCACCCAGGGCTTACTAGGAGCAATCGGACGCTACCTTCCGAGCTTTCCAGGTGGACTTCAAGTCACAGCGTCATTCGCATCCAAAGTCACTTCGCTTCGCGCGCGCGAAAAAGCTCCAGTAGCGTCCTTGTTTCTAGTAGCGATGCCCTTTGTTCCTAGTACCAGTAGCGTCCTGTGCACCACTCCTGCCCCAGAGATTGAAAACCAACCGTATGTCATTTTGCTGCCGTTAGGAACTATTCCGAAAGAACAAAAAGGAAGAGCCGGTTTCTGGGCCAGTCACTTTCCTGTGCCACATTCATCTGGCTATCCAATAGCACTTCACCGTCACATGCCCCTCTCAAGACTCTGCGGAAGCTAGACACCAAAGACTCTGCATCTGCTGTGTCTAGCTTGGCATAGATGCGGCCGCGCAGTGCCATGTCGATGATGATGGAGAAAGCGATGGTTTGAATCCTTGGATTCTTTGCAATATATTGTGCCGACCAGAAATTGAATCGCCTTATCCGTCCTTATCCCATCCAAGTTTGGGTCACGTGTTTGGTCATTATTCAATCTCTCTTGGTATTCCGGATTCCCTACAGGGCGACTGCCCTTGAAGGGAACCAAAGCCTGCTTTGCTTGCAAGTCCAAGAATCAAAACAAAGACTTGGGTGTAGAATAAGGGTCCAAGTTCAGTGCGAGACTCATCGAAAGCAAAGAAATAGGTGAGCATGCCCACTGCAGTGTAGAGCACTTGGAATGGGATTGAGATCTGGGGATCTAGACAACACAAGACCAAGCAAAAGCGCATTGCAGTAAGGAAACTCTGCCACAGGCCGAACTTGAAGGAGCTCCCAGCTCGAGCTGGTAAGACGGCGCCAAGCGTTGAAACGGAGTGTAGCCAGTAGTTCACAATCTTGATTCGTTGCGGAGTGAGCTGTATGAGATCCTTCGCCACCATAAGATGCTGTAAATAGGACAAACAGCAAGCAATCAGTAGCATGATGGTCTCAAAGCCACTGGTCGCAAAGGCCTCCCAAAGGAAGAAGCAGCCCACGCCGAACTCCAGATGAGTCGAGTAGCCTTTCTTGCTCCGTTTGAAAGCGATGAACAGGTTTTACTCTCCTACCAAAAGTGACCCATAAACATAAACCGTCAACCAGGCCGTTCTGAAATCCATCCCTCTGTTGCGATTGATTCACCAAGCTGAACTCTGTGAGTAGAACAATCTGCTCGGCCTTTCAATCAAACGACCAGAAGCTTACGTGCTCTCATGCATCAAAGGCACATCAGGATTCTTCTGGGTGACTTGCTACCCTGGATGTTGTCTTCAACTAAAACATATTAATTCAGTTCCCAAAGTGTTTGGCAAATCCTAAAAGGTTCCACAGTCGGCCAATGGTCCAATTTCCCAGGACAAAACCGGGGAACGGCTGAAGGAGATGTAGTTGCTTTGCCGAAGCTTCACCATCTCCTCCTCCACCCGAGTTTCCTTGGCCACATCCCGCGGAGATGGATGCATCACCTGAAGAAATCGAAGAGAAGCGAAAGGATGAAATGAAAGGTGTGAAAAGAAGGAGGGTTACTTTGGTCTCGGAACCTGATCTATGTTTTGTTGCGTCCCTGTACTGGACGAAAAATGACCAAAGCCTGCACCAACTGAGATTTTCAGGATACGCCGCTAGAGCTGCACAGACCGGTTCGTATCTCAGGGTGGCGCGGTTCTGTCTTGGACCGGTTCGTTTCATTTTGTTCCAAGTCACAGAGCTGATCCATGCACGCAAATCTCCCCAGTCGGTTTTGGTCAAATAAAGATGCACCAAGACTGCACATGAGAGCAGCGAGCCGATGACCATGAACTCTTCGGTGCCCATGGGGTGAAACGTTGTGCCCGTGGCGTGAAACAAGTGAAACCACCAAAAGTAGCGGCCTGTCACATGTACACATATCGAAAAGGCTGGATGTGCCTGTTTCTCCAATCATTCCTTTGAAGGGGAATGTATCTGCGAAGTGCTTAAGCTGGTTGATACTAAAATTGTACCTCATCTCACAAACCAAAGACTATCCAGGCGGCAACCGGCGGCATCCGGCGGCAACAGTCATGATGGACAGTGTAGGGAAAAGAATGAAGTAGACCCCGGAGAAACGAATACAGCTGTCGTGAGTAAATGCAGCTACATAATGGCCACAGGTGTTGGAAAGAGTGGCCTTTTTCGTGCCACAAAGCCTGAGGATGTGCTTCAAGACGCTGAAGTCGCACCAAGTCATCTGGGTTCCTTTCGGCATCAAACCTTGTTTGAAAACGGAAAAATGCAAAACATATGGCCTACAGGCTTCCCTTCGACTCGACCATAAAGAGACAGGTTGACCTGGATTTGTAGCGTAAAACCCTTTAGCCTTCGAAAACAATGGTGCTTCGGGATGACGTCGCCGATTAGATCAATGGTGGGCCAGGCATCCATCATGACCTATTCCGACCAAGTCGACGAAGGCACGGCAACGAGTCTGAGTGAAGGCAAGCCCTGACGCTGTGTCCCAAGCATGACCCACCCCCACAGCAAAGCCCCCTGTTTTGGACATCCACGCCCTGCGCCGGAGACCGGCCGGTGCGCCGCCCGCGGAGGCCCTCGGAGATGCCATCCAAGGAGGGATAGCGCCGAGGCTTTTCAGGTCCTAAAGGAATCAAGAACCCTCAGTTCGGTGAAGGTTTTTGAGGGGACACCCGATGGTCCTCCGATCTCGGAATCTGGAGCTGATTGACTCTTGCCATATCTGGCCAGCATCCGATCTCATCTTCCGCTCTTGGTTCCCCTTTTCAAAAATCCCAGATCGTTCAATTCACAACAGAATTTGCATCCCGTCAGTTGGGAAAAACGAAAAAAGAAAAAGCTCGTGAATTCTGTTTTGAATGATAGTTTGTGTTTGAGACCAATTGGTCAGCCATCAGCCCGGTCACGTTGTTCCGAACTCGATCACCAGTTTTCTCCCGAGTTCGATTGACTTAAGGATTTACGTCTACCAGGTCAAGCATGGTCAACCATGTAGACCAGGTCTTGGAAGACTTCTTGGCGTAGTTGGACCACCGTCCTCTGCCCCGTCGCAGAAGATCCATCACATCGGTCGATCGCAAGCAAGCACCACCCGACCGACCCCCGGTCGACGTGCTATGTCAATGTGTATCATCGTGTTGGCCGACCGAAGGTCTAGACGGTCCGACCGAGGTGTGTTGGAAAAAACAAAGACTGAAAAGGTCGGTAGTAAACCACACTGCTTGGGGGAATCACATGGAATAACTTACATAATCATGCATCCGCCTATAGCATTCAATCCAGACATGCCGGTGGGCCAAGCGGGCCGATCGGGCCTATAGCATTCCACACACGACATGGAGTTCAGGTGCCAAGTTTCGGAAGCCTTTCAAGAGTAACCAAGCAAGTCGAGTACCACCCGAAATGCGGTGCAAAGTGGCTTCCTCGACCATGAGCCATCCACGTTGACCTGGGGAGTGGCTGAGAAAATTCCGAAGACGCCAAGTATACTCTCATCATCTGAACTTTGAACTATTATTCTTGCCAACATATCAAGTTCCCGGAGTTATTCTCAGAATTCCCACACCTGGAAGTTTCACAGTCATCTTGTGAATCAGCTTCGGCTCGAGATTTGGATTCACCAAGGCCAGCTCCACAAAGTTCCGCACCACACTCCGCAGCTTCTCCCAGTCCGTGGGTTTCACCAAACTTCGAAGGCTTGGCATGGAGCTCTCGCTCCCCTGCCCGCGCCCGTGGGCATGAGCCAGATCCGACTCAGCCTGAAGGGGTGGATGGAGGGTCGGAAGGACAATTAGAAGAGATAAAAACCTTTACAAACAAGAAAACTCTATTTGCAAATGGATGTATGTGTGTGTGGAATACACCTTCTTGGGAAGGGCAAGGAGCCATTCCATGGCCAGCCACGAAAATTGATTAAACAAACTCGGAGCTTGCTGGCCTCATCCTTCCGCTCGAATTTTAAATGTGCTTGTTGAATATCCTGAAACTCCGTCTCCACATCCAACAACAACGTCATTTCGTGCAACTCAGGACAAATGTGAGCACATGAACTGTGGCCAGAACTTTCAGAGGTTTGCGTAGCAGATGTTCCTCCAGACATTCTGGAATGAGAGGTGGCATGTTGTAGAGGTCCTTGGACTCCTGTCGTAGGCAGAAGCTCTGCAGGCACTGCATCGACTGAGGCTTCAGGATGGGGCCTTGATTCAGGATCTTCTTTGAAGGCGACAAGGTGGTAGGGCTCATTGGCGCCAAAGAGCCCTGGCACCGGCACATGCTAAACATCCGCAGCCACTCCAATTCCAGCGGACCCACGAAACGACACGCGGGAGCAAAAAGGAGGTGCTGAGAGTTCAGCACCAAAGGCGTTTGTCGAAGCCTCAATGAACTCGCGGAAGCGCGGCCGCTCACCATCTGCCAACAAGTGTTCAAACGATCTGCCCTTCAGACTCACATCCGTCAAGATCAGGTGCTTCAGGCACTCGCCTGATGGGGGGATTGGTTCAACTGATGTTGGGGCCCTTAGCAGTATACCCATGTAACATACCCCCCAGATTAGTTTTAAGCTAATCCGCATACTACCAATATTCCGCATACTACCATATACATCAAATAAAGATAATAATCAAGATGTGTTGAGATGTTGGATTAACAAACAGAGGGAAAAGTGGTAGCTATCCTTAAGCAGGCGCAGAATCAAGTATCTTGAATAAATTTGGACATGTTTCGACTGGATACCAAACCATTCAGAACCCTTCAAAATCAGAGGGACGGCAAAGACAAATAAACATGTTGAAATTACTTATTCTGCAGGTTGTTGACATCAGGGCAAGGGCTGGAATAAAGAAACTTGACATGTTAGATACTGCCAGGTTAATGTCTGAAAGAGTAAACGTAAAACAAAAAACATCCAAAGATGAGACAACCAATTGTAATACATGGTTAAATGTGTAAAAATTCTAATTTACTTGGCGCGTTAATTACATGTTACATACTACCAGATTAATTTCTAGCACAGCATGTTCTAGTCAGCAATCAAATATTAATCCGACAAATGCAGGGGTTTACCCCCTACCCCACCCCCCAAGAATATTAACCCTGTGCAATTGATCCAACAAAATGAATCCAGTAGCCCCCATGGTACCCAGGATTATTTTCTAAGGACCCGCGCATGTTTTCCAAGAACTGTTTCCAAATTGCCGAAAAATAATCCGAACCACCAGCCAGTCAGGGCCAGTCACTTTCCTGTACCACATTCATCTGGCTATCCAATAGCACTTCACCGTCACATGCCCCTCTCAAGACCCTGCGGAAGCTAGACACCAAAGACTCTGCATCTGCTGTGTCTAGCTTGGCATAGATGCGGCCGCGTAGTGCCATGTCGATGATGATGGAGTAAGCGATGGTTTGAATCCTTGGGTTCTTTGCATCTCAAAACAATATCTTGTACAGACTAGAAATTGAATCGCCTTATCCCATCAAGTCCAAGTTTGGGTCACGTGTTTGGTCATTATTCAATCGCTCTTGGTATTTCTGGATTCCCTACAGGGCGACTGCCCTCAAAGCGAACCAAAGCCTGCTTTGCTTGCATTTCCAAGAATCAAAACGAAGACTTGGGTGTAGAATAATGGTCCAAGTTCAGTGCGAGACTCATCGAAAGCAAAGAAATAGGCGAGCATGCCCACTGCAGTGTACAGCACTTGGAATGGGATTGAGATTTGTGGATCCAAACAACAAAAGACCAAGCAAAAGCGGATTGCAGTAACGAAACTCTGCCACAGGCTGAACTTGAAGGAGCTCCCAGCTCGAGCTGGTAAGACGACCGTAAGCAACCCAAGGGAGTATAGCAAGCAGCTCACAAACGTCATCCGTTGAGGGCTGAGCTGTATCAAATCCTTCGCTACCATGAGGTGCTGCAAATAGCACAAACAACAAGCAATCACCAGCGCGATGGTCTCAAAGCCAGGGTTCGCAAAGGCCTCCCAAAGGAAGAAGCAGCCCACACCGAACTCCAGATGAGTCGAGTAGCCTTTCTTCTGAAGATTGATTGAATGCCATGATCATTTTGAACATTACTTATCCGGCAGCACCTCCCCAAAGGGATAACTTTATATAAACTAAATCCTCCACATCCTCAAATACATTGCATTGTAGTTGCTTCAGGAAGCTGAGTAGAAACTATTCAGTTTTTAAAACATGTTAAAACTATATCAAACAATCAGTGGCGGTAAACCGTCAGCCCCCATCCGTCATGCAGGTTTTGCTTGCACAAATGGTGACCATTTGCAGCAAGCTGTCTTGGATTTCTTGCAATGCTATATTATAGCTGCATCAAAGAAACATCAGGTTTTTGGATATATTTCCTAACCTGTTGCCTTCAATTGAAACCATCTGAGCCAAAGAAGTTGCCAACAAGAAGTTTGGCAAATCAAAAGGTTCATACATTGCATCTACTTGTGACTGTTGCGTTTTCCACTTTCCAGGGAACAGCTGATGGAGATGTAGGTCCTTTGCCGAAGCTTCACCATCTCCTCCTCGACCCGAGCTTGTTTGGCCACATCCCGTGAAGACAGATGCATCACCTGGCACGCGCTTGTTCGAGGCCAGTTTGTGGACTTGATACAGTAGATCGAAAGCAGGTCGGATGAAACGTCCCAGTTCTTCTTGGGGTCACTTTTGGAAACCCTCTGCACCAGCTGAGATAAAGGATACGCCATCACTTATGCTGTATAGTATCATATATACACCTGGATCTTCCAACTGTGCAAAATGTCGGCCTTTTCATCTAAACAAGATGGAACCCACGAACCCGAATGCAAACACGTTCAAAAACCTACATATGTCCAAATGACACTCTTGTAGGACACTCTTGTGAGACACTCTTCTGGGACACTCTTGTGGGTCACTCTTACACGACACTCTTGTGGGTCACTCTTGTAGGAAGCTCTTGTGGGACACACTTGTGAGACACTCTTGTAGGACACTCTTGCGGGACACTCTTCTGGGACACTCTAGATCTTGTGGGACACTCTTGTGGGACACTCTTGTAGGACACTCTTCTAGGACACTCTTGTGGGACACTCTTGTGGGACCCTCTTGTGTGACACTCTTGTAGGAAACTCTTGTGGGACACTCTTGTAGGACACTCTTGTGGGACACTCTTATAGGACACTCTTGTGGGACACTCTTGTGGGACACTCTTGTAGGACACTCTTGTGGGGCACTCTTATAGGACACTCTTGTGGGTCACTCTTATGGGACACTCTTGCGGGACACTCTTGTAGGACACTCTTGTAGGACACTCTTGCGGGACACACTTGTGGGACACTCTTGTGGGACACTCTTGTAGGAAACTCTTGTGGGACACTCTTGTAGGACACACTTGTGGGACACTCTTATGGGACACTCTTGTGGGACACTCTTGTGGGACACTGTAGGACACTCTTGTGGGACACTCTTGTGGGACACTCTTCTGGGACTCTCTTGTGGGAAACTCTTGTGAGATACTCTTGTAGGACACTCTTAAGGGACACTCTTGTGAGACACTCTTGTGGGACACTGTTGCGGGACACTCTGTGGGACACTCTTGTAGGACACACGTCAAGTCTCCAAAACGAGCGTTTCGCACAAGACTTCCTCGAAAAGTCACATGTCAAGTCTCCAAAACGAGCGTTTCGTAGGAGACTTCCTCCAAAAGTCACACGTCAAGTCTCCAAAAGTCTCCAAAACGAGCGTTTCGTACGAGACTTCCTCAAAAACTCACATGTCAAAATCTGCAAAACGAGCGTTTCGTACGAGACTTCCTCCAAAAGTCAAGCGGAAACACCCAGCCGAGCACACACATCACGCAGCCCTGCCAAGCAGTTTCGCGATTCCAGCCCTCCAAACAACACCCGCTCCCACGACAATCCCAATGTGACAGCGACATTCACCTCTACCACAACTCACAACCTCACGATTCCCTGCGCCTGCCACGAATCTTTCCGCGTCCACACGTCTAACGCGCACAAAGTACTGGCGCCTGCCACGAAATGTCACCTCCGTCACACCTCGCAGCCTCACGACTCCCTGCGCCTGCCACGAAAATCACACTTCCACACCTCAAAACCCGCACAAAGTACTGCGCCTGCCACGAAAAGTAACAATATCATCTCATGTGAGCTTCAACAAAATTTGCACCACATGATTTCGACCCGTTCTGGGCACACTCCCATCCACCAAAATCGCCATTTCAGCTGAGACTTGTCACGAAAACAGAGCTTCGATGCCACACCCTGCAACGCAAATCCCAATGGCACGGCCACATCCAACACCCCAAAAACACGACTCTCCAAACGCTAATCCCAATGGAATTGCGCAGCAAACTGCGGATCTGCCTGTGCAGCGAATTGCATCACGTTTCTTGCGCGACATGTCATGGTCATGCAAATCACAATGGAATAGCGGTGCAAACTGGCACGTGACACATCCATGAACAGTCACTTGCAAAAGCTTCCCCCAATGGCAGCGAATTTGATACGCCACGACGACGACAAACGACGACAAACGACGAGAGACGACGAGAGACGACGACAGACGACGAGACGACGCACGCCACGCAAACATAGCTCCAACCCCCAGACCCCCAACTATAAACGGGAACCCTTCGCTACGCATTCGGGAAAAACCCGCCAAGTTAGGCATCACTTGTTGCGTCGTTGGAAGATTCGGATGGAAAAGAAAGTTTTTTCACCTCGTTGCTGCAGGAGCGTTTGAAAGACCCGTCTCTGCCGCCACGTCGCCGAGCTGATCCATGCTCGCAAATCTCCCCAGTCACTTTGGGTCAAAGAGAAATGCACCGATGCGCACAAGAGCAGCAAGGTAGTGACCATCAGCAGCTCCTCTGTCCCCATGGCACGGAAGAGGGAACGTCTGAAGCGGATGGATTTACCATGGTCGAGATGATTCGCCATGTTCACAGGCCATGATGAAAGCATCAAAGTAGTGCCCAGTGGGCCCAATGGTCAAAACATGTCTTTATCATCCTGCCTCCCAAGTGGAGGTGTTGTTTTACGTGGCATTGGGTTGAATTGGGTCATGCTGAGAAGCTGTTCAATGCTCCGAACGGCGATGGGCGATCACTCACCAGCGGAACAGCACCATACATCTTGCATTCCAGTGAGCTCTGCATGACATCATTTCTCAAAAGAAGAACTGGCTGTACAATACATCCATCCATCAAGTATCCATCCATAGGTTACAATACATCCATCCATCCACAGATTACATAAGAACCGGTCTCCACAGGTGCTCTGATCCATCCATCCCATACATTACATCCGCATGGGTCGGTCAGGTCCATCGGGCGAGGTGTTGGGTCAACCAATAAGGAACCGCGACAAAAACCGCGAGGTGTTGGGTCTATGCCTGTGTTGCTAGTAGCTTATAGACTTCTAGCTACTAGTAGTAATGCACTTGTTAATCTTGTTACTAGTAGCTTGGATTTGCGTACGGCTTGAGTATATCAGTCAGCCGGGGTGCTGTGAGAAGAACATCTTCCGAAAGGTTTGGGGGTGAAAGACCCAGTTTGGGTCAAACAAAAAGTCTTCACCAATTCCGCAAGGTACAAACCCCATGTCATGTAGACCATTTCATGAGCCTCATTTCGGTCTCTTCAGGGCGATTCATCCAATACTCGAACCGACCGTTGCATTCGCTCGACACTCCGACGCCTTGTGCACCAAGAGCGTGGCGCACAACGAGCCCTCGAGCGCCGGGAACTCCGGCAGCTCGGGCCTACCGAGCGGTAGGGGAGCCCAAGGGAGGCCCTTTAGGCCGGCGGGGTTGGCACCAAAGACCTATAGTCCGGTCGGTTTGCAGAAAGGGGGTGGTGAAACAGAGAGTTCAAACATAAAGAAGAAGGCGATGGTCTATGGTCTGGCTGAAGGAGCACAGAAAAAGACATCCGCCAGCAGAACAAAGGACATCCGAGTGAGGGAAGAGGACCCACATCTCCATAGCTGCAGCACAGATGAGTGCAAATAGCTGCCAGGTAGGTCTCATGATGTCCTAGCTCCCAAGGCTTTTCTTTGTGTTATTGCACTAACTGAGGGATGGGCCGGCGTTTACTGTAAAGTCAAAGTCACAAATCTTGTGACGTTGGGCTTCGCAACAAGGACGTCTTGTAAACCGAGTGCGACTGAGCATCTGTGATTTCCAAGGCCTCAAGCTGTCCACAGTGACCCCCAGTCATAGATAGAAGGACAGTGGATCCCCCACGTGCAGAATGTATTGGAAACCGTGCCACGACATCTATTTGAACAACAACAGTCTCACCCAAACAAAAATCGCTGCCGGATTCGACTGGGCGAGAGCATCTCTGAAACACGCCAGGCTAGTGATGGGAATAGGTGGCCTGACACCATCCAGGCTTCATGGAATGTGGGTCAAGCCAAACAGGACCGCTTGGCTTGAAAAGGGAACCCATTTCTTCCAGAAGTTCCAACCTTCCTGTTGTGATTGGCTTCTGGTGTTTTCTTGCACAAAGTTACATGTATTTTCAGGACCTCATCCTCCTGACTTCATCCTTGACTCCTTATCTGCCTCGCAGAGCGCTCATCCATGGCCAAGAGCAGCTCCTGCAAATGATGCGGCCCCTCGACGTTCGCACGCGTCCACGCGACACGCCCTCCACCGCATCCCTGAAGAAGGCCACTGTCGACCAGGTCATCCCGAGGGGAGATGCTTGCCATCAGCACATCGACCACAGCGATGTAAAGATGTACAGAACCACCACGATGTAAAGAACCACTGCAAAGTCTTTGGTTCTGTTGGCATGTGTTGTTTCCTGTTTTTTTTTCCATATCTATTATGCAAAGACAGCACTTCAGACGCAGATGGACTTGCATGACAATTCTGGACACTAGATGAGAATCTAGAAAGGCCATGGCACTCGCATCCTGGCTGGGCGCGTTCACGTGCCCAGCGGAATCTATCCATGTCGACTGTTAGGTATTTGATGGCACCTCAATGATCTGGTTGGTGGTTTCAACTCCTTTGGGATATATAACTAGGACCAATCAGCCTCAATAGAGGTTGAACGTACAAACATCTGAAACCCACAACACCACAACCTGACATGACTGCGGCTAACTGCGGCCTATGGGAACGTCTGGTAGGGACCGTTTGATCCACAAGCTTTGAAGTCGGTCCCTCATGATTGGGGAGGTACCATCATGTGACATCATGTTCATGTTCGTTCGTCACACAGACCTGGGAGGGCACTCCCAGTGCGGCTGGACGCATGTTTAGCTGCTTGGCCCCCATGAACAATCCAATGAAAGATGTGGATGTAACAAACAAGATCTGCGGATGAAGTCTACTAGAAGTCCAAAGAAGTAAATCAACGCTAGAAGTCCAAAGACAATATATAAAATGAATTGTCTGACTAGGGAACCTGAAAGGGACTTCCTTTACTTTACCAAGGAAGAGTCTAGTCCAAGACACTTTGGTTAAAGTGTGATGTGCAGAGATTCCTTCTTCCCGCATCTCCACGTTTTCGCGAGTACAGGGTCTGAACAACTTCAAAGCCAAAAAAAGAGCGACTTCAACAGCGTGAGGCGTTCGTCTGATCGTCCAAGAAAAGTCCTGGTATACATGATGTAAAATGATTCAATGATGTAAGATGTACTTGGGTGTCTCAAATGTTGTCTTCCATCACCCTAGTTCTCCAAAAACCATATAAAAGTAACAACAAACTTGACCAAACGAGTTTCCCTGCGCTGTGGATTCGGAAAGTACCTAACTAACACGCTTCACCGGAAGACCTAACATCTACCGCTTTCATGCGGCGCTCGCCAACATCTCTCGCAGCGAGCGGCCATCGCGGCGGTGTGTACCGCGTCTCGCACGGTCACCGCTCCAAAAAGGAGATCGTCCCCGAGCAGTTTCCATCAATGGCCTCCGCACGGTCGAGTTCCATCGATGGAAGCCGCGGAGAAGACGCGGTGGAGGAAGCATTGGGAGGAAGCGCTGGTTTGGTTTCAGGTGCTAGGATGGCGCATTTGGGGCATCATCTTATTAGCCTGGATTCTGACGAATCCAAAATAGAAGACCTCAAGCAGGGTGGGAGAGCACGCTCCACGCGCGGGAGCATGCTGGACGGGAAGCAACGGGCGATGTTCGAGCTCCAGCGGGCCCTCACTTTCGTTGGAGAAACCGCCCTCCGAAGTACCGCCTGATTACACCAGGGGTCCCACCCAGTGCTGATTTGTTGCACCCAAGACTATGCAGAAAATTATGTATTTTGGTCAGACTTTGACAAACATATCTTCCATGTTTGCAATCCGACGCAGTTGCACGCTTGAAAGTTGCGTGGCTCATCCAGAGATCTACACAATTGAGCACCTGAGAAGGTTACAGTATGGGGAGCTAGAGAAGAAATCTAAGAACCCCTTGAGGAACATCTATAAAACTACATTCATGATATGATATACTTCAGCGACTTCATCCGCAGCACCTCCGGTCCAGCTCTTTCCACCACACCTTTCGACCTTCGGACACCGGGCGCTGGGCCTCGAAGATCTGGTAGAGACGACCCGCGTGGAGCAAGGGCACCTGACGACGGTGAACGACGAACGAGGGGCGTGGGGGCGTGGGGCGATCGGTTTGGGTGAAGCAAAACCACCGAACAGCAGTGAGAAGCAACACGTATGGCACATCTCAGATGGCACGGGGTACTCAGTAGTGTGTGTGTGTGTGTGTGTGTGTGTCAGAGTGTGATAGTGCTCTGGTTGGGCGGAATTCTCATCAGATCTGAAGCATTCTGGCACCATGTTCAACAAGCCAATGGCCGCAGGCGTCGCTGGGGAAATCATCTAATGGCCTTTCTGAGGGGAGGGCAGCCGATTCATGAACACTTCAGATATATATATATATATATCATCGTCATTCTGGCGATGAAGGGAGCATGAACTGGAGAACCAATAGGACGTATACGATGACATAGGAGTATGATGAAATCTTGTTCCTTACTTTTTCGAGCAACGCTGTAGGCTGTATATGAATCAAGTCCTCCAATCAGGGCTGGCCATCAACTCCGATCGTCTCATGCGAGACACTCTGAAACATCAAATATCAAACTGTCGGAGTTTACTTCACGTGCATCACAGGATATATGTTCAGTAGCTGTAGCATGCTGTAGCAGTATATAGCTAATTGTGGTGCTTCATCAAGAACTTGTCAGGTTCACCAAAGTCAGCACCCAAAAAGAGTGCTGAAGTTTCAGAATAGAGTAATCAAATGGCAAAAACCCAAAGATGTCTAGCTCTAATGTTACAGTCATTATAAACCAAATGTTGGGGCTTCAAAGCGTCAGCGGCTTGATCCACACCCGAATGATCCAGCAGACGGGCTTCGCAACCGACAGACCGACAGAAATATCGTGAACAATTGTGGAAAAGAGATTCATGGACATGAATTCTCCATGCAGCTTTGTTCCTTTTGTGTTGCTAAACATCCTTGTTCAATAGTTAATCTTTTCCATTTTTGTTGCTAGGCTATACATCCTTGTTTTGCAGCTATGTTTCAAACATCCTTGTTTTGTTTATAGTGCTAAAGGCCTCCTCTTTTTGTCTGCTCGCCTTTTCGCCTTCGCCTAGGCTCGGACCTCCGTGCGGGGACCTTTGAGGACCGCGTTTTTCGGCAGCGGTTCAAAACGGCGTGAAGAACGCGACGGCCCTTCGCACCTCCAGATCTCCGCTGCAGTCGTAGGTGCCCATCTGTTGAAGACCTTCGACAAAGTCCTGAAGCCCCCGAAGCCCCTTCGCCCGATTCGAGGCGCCCGAAAACGGCGTGTCGGAGGTCGGGAAGCCCGAAAGGATGAGGTTGGAGATCGTTGGAGCCAAGTCATAGAGCGAATGGACTGTGCAGGACTTCGGTCTGTCTTGGTGGAAATCAACATGTCTATGAATGACTTAAATAGACTCTTGGCACCCAGAGTCAAGCTGTCCGAAAAGAGAAGAACTTAATAAAGAAACCAGTCTGGCTCCCTCCAATGGAGCCCAAAAAAGACTCAAGTAACTCGTTCAACTCCTTCGCGTCCTCCGTCCGACCGTCCCAGCCTATCCCGTTCGGGGAAGACCCGTCCGTTTGGCCTCCGGTCCTTGGGCCCAACGAGGTCGGATCCATCTTGGGCGGTGGCCTTAAAGAACCTCGGGTCGACCGGCGAGACTCGCCACAGCGAGGATCGTTTTCGTGGGTCGCGGGGACGTCGTGGGTCACGCGACCGTGCGACCGTTCGAAGAAAGCATGTGGAAGAAAGGGGTGAAAGGAGTATCAGCTGCTGTGGTCTTTGTTGATGGTTTCTATTGAATTCTTTTAGAAATTGAAGCAATTGAGTGAGGGTTGTGTGGTTGACATCAGTCTGGGAAATTATGACCATCCAAATCAGGGTATTATCATTGGTGTGATTGCTGAGTCTCGCCAGATTTCAGAGGCCGCCCTCCTCGTCAATATACCCGTTATGATCTCAATAAACCAGGGCCTTCCGACAAACGTTATGTTGGGACCATCACATACCATCAACGTTATTTGGCGTGCCTCTGCTTGTACCAAAAAACATCAAAAAACATGGGTGATCCTGGATGACAGAAAACACATGAAAACACCATGCCAGGTGCCGTCGTACCACCAAAAACGTGCATCTCGGAGGGTCCGGATGTCGTTTGGTCTCCAAATCGCACGGCACACGCGCAGGACCAGGCTGCAGCTACCGAGGACCAGGCTGGATCAGCGCGGAGTGCAGCGGGGGGCCATGTCGCTGGAGAATCTGCCAGTTCCGAACACACGCGTGGAGAGGCGATGGTGTTCGGCAGTGAGTCGCGACAGCTGGCGGAGAGCGTCCAAGTGATGGTGGGTTGTTTTCTTTGACAGCTGGGTGGGTTGTTTTGGTTTCTTGGTTTTTGCAGAATGAGGAATGATTTTTTCACCTTGAGACTGTCAGGGGCACCCCTGTTGCACTGTTCGTGATCGTTTCGTCGATTTGGAGTGACCCCTTCTTGAGGTGGAGATCGAAAATGTCATTGTGTTTACAAAAGAAACATATTCACGTCTTGTTGGACTTTTAGGTCTTTAGGTCCACCACGTGCTTTTACGTAAAAGAGATGTCATCTGAATCTCTTTAGACCGCCTCTATATATACACCCCGGTTCCGAGAGCGGAACCTGATGCCGCCCAGACTGGAAGACTCATGCATCCCCCAACCCGACGTGGTCTTGCTGGGTTCTGTATGTCAATCTTCCAGGGCGTAGATCTCTTTTTGTATCTGTTCCTCTTCTTTGGACCCTTGGCACCAACGTCTTTCAGAAGTTTCTCCGTGGAGAAAGGCGTCGTTCTCAATCGAACACCGGTCACGTACCGGTCAACCAGTCAACTGGCCCAGTCGAACCCGCAGAAATGGGAGGAAAAAGCGAAACGATCTTTAGACCTTGTAGATGTCCCGCTTCGGGTCTTGTAGAGGAAGACTTCCTGGTGATCAAGATGAAGAAACATCCCAAGCTGACTTGGAGTGAATGCACATCATTTGTCATTTCCTCGATGTAAAAAAAACAAGGATCACTCAATAGCCAGCAAGTATTGGAACATTAGAAAGTAACATCTATAAAAGTGAACCCCAAAAAAAATTGAGACCACGCGCTAAGAAGGTTGGATCGAAACAAGTCGAGCCGTCGTTGTCTGTCCCAGAATTGATTGAAGGGAACATCTACAGGATGCCTCTTATGTTTTTGTTTCTTCTTCACCCACCAATTCCTACAGGTGTCCTGTAGATGTTCCCTGAAAACAAAAACAAAAAACATGGGCACCAGGTGTCCCCACCAAATCTCCAATACGCCCCAGGGCAGTCCTTGGAGCGTTGAAAAGGACGCCGAGACGCAGTTGTCGTTGTGCCGTTTCGTGAGTTTCGCGCGTTTCAGCGACAGACACATTGATGGTCTTTCTTTCTGGCCACCAAAAAGCATCAAAAAGAGCTTCTCAAGTGGCCAGGACTTTGTGGAGATCGGCTTCCCACACCCAAATGAACATTGAGACTATACCCAAACCATCCATGTATGTAATGGTTGTACACATGCACTTACCCCATGAGAATGACCCATCCATGGTGGCTTAATTCTTCCAGTCCCGTGGATGCTCGGTTCATTCACCAGGTCGTCTCGAGGCCACCTGTTGCCCCCCGGCCCACTTTCCCCAGGTCGTCTCGGGTCTGTCGGAGGTGTAGGAATGTATCCACCCATCCATGCAGAGCAGTCAATGTTGCTAATGATTATGCCATATGATGCGGCATATGTAAATTATAGTCGTGTACACTATTTGTTTTTAAAGTATGAAGTCATTAAGTATGTTTAATGCATGATCTGTCACCTCCCCATCTGAGCTCCACGCTTCATCCAGGGCCTCATTCCCAACTCATGTGAGGCTCTGGCCCAATGGAAACGACTCCCCAGGCCGTAAGAAGGGGGGAGTCTGCTCATGAGAAGACGTTGACTTCAGCCCCAGGTAAGTTTTTCGTTTCGAAGCTGAGCTGTGTTGAGAGAATGAACATATATATTGATCATCAATGCTGTTTTAAAACATATATACCAGCACCTTCCGTTCGGGATCACCTGGCTGGAAGCCCACACACTACTGAGAGATCTCCATTGGACACCCCTTGGAAGGTCCAGGTACAAAAATATATTGATATATAATATACAATAAAAGAACAACAACACACACTCTTCTGGTGTTCCTTCACGGTCGTGAGGATCGACCCCGGTTCACCCCAAGCACTCACGTGGGTCACGTGTGTCAGTCCTGCTCAGCTCGAAATAGAAGTGCTCGAATCCGACACATGGTCCATTTCAAGCCCTCCATATCACAATCCCTCAAATCCAATCAATACGTTTGCAATGAAATGGATAGTGTGCAATATTGTAAATTATTAGATTATGGTTGATCACGTTAAAACTGTTTTGCAAATAAAAGTAAACAATCTAATATGCAATGGAATAGAAACTTTTGTTGGAAACAGGTTTTGTACAAAGAATCCTGGGAAATGAGCGCCGCTATGTCGCTATGTCCTTAAATCTCAATAAACAAGGCTTAAATCCTTGTCATAGGCTCTCACAATGCATTATTGTATGAACGTTGACAGCCTGTAAGTAATTGTCTTTGGTTTCTCAGGCTGTTCATGTTGGAAAACCGTTGAGGTGTTAAATCAGGCAATTGCGCCTTACAAACCTGACGGAGATGCTTATGATATTCTAGCAAGCGAAGTTTGTTTACTTCGAACACGGGGCCAAGATACTGCGCAGCACACTTGACCCGAAAACATCCAAACCCAGAAACTGGCCCCAAGCCTCGGCCCCGGCGACACGGAAAAGCAACATGTTGTGTATCGTTCGAAACGCTTGGACGCCCACGTTCTACGAACGTGTCTTTCCTCTTGACATGTCTCAACATCTTCTTATAGCTTAAAGCACCTGGGAAAAAGAGGTAGATTCCAAAGCCCTCCAAAGTTTCCTCGCAGGCAATGTCACCACGAGAAGTCACACGTCGTCGGGCCGAGGGCGTGGCTCCGGGAACTGTGGTGGATCAGCGAAGAGTGCCAACCTCGGCGCCGACCGCGTGTGCAGGTTAGCCGGTTGTCCAGCCCACCTCCGCGGGTGTCCATGGTGCGGGGGGGGGGGTCAATCAGCCTGTGGGCCGACAGCGAAGCCTTGAAATCACTGATGTCTAGAACCCACCTATACCAGCAACCTGACTTTACACGTGTCTCCAAAATGGAGGCTCGTATGGTTAGGGGGGCCCTGTTGGAGGGTCTCACTTGACCCAGCAAGGCGGGTTTTTCTAGACAACACGACCAACACGACCTGATGACAGAAGCTTGGACCAGCCAGCTGGGCAGCCGGTTCGGCCCTTCAACCGGCGCGAACAGGGCCGAGCCCTCCGGCTGGTGTAAGACCGCACTGAGCTGTGTCGTCTCCTGGCTCGCCAGGCTCTGCAAGCTTCGAGTGGAGAAAGAAAGAGAAAAACGGGTTTGAACTAAATCGCATGAAAGTGGCCGACGATCTACCAAGACCAGCCGTGTTTTTTCAGAGAGGAACAGTTTCTGTTTTTGTATTGGAGGTTTGCGAGAGTCAACTCACCCCCCATCGTTCTCCGTGGCCAAACCGAAGAGGCTGGCACCTCTCCGAAGAGGCTGGCAGCCAGCTGTCTTCTCTGACGCTTCCGCCTTGAAAGCAGGCGGAGATTCCGATTTGTTCTTCGATCGAGACTCTCGGCGCTAAATGAATGGCCCACAGTGTGACCACGAGCGGACGACACATCACATGTGCAATATGGATGGCCTGGGCCCCGACTGAGTCAGACTACTTTCCCGGATACGAACAGGGTGAGGTTCTCCACTTCGGTGATGTGTTCGTCCCTTCGTGTGAAGCTGCGCAAGCGCTGCGCCCCACTCTGCTGCGACCAGGCAGCGAGCCCGGACCGGACTCGATGTCCCGCGGACCCCGGTGCCGTGGAGTCGGTGCCGAAGACGGTGCCGAAGATCAAGATCCACTCAGATCACTGGAATGAGATGAGATGGTTCCAAAAAAAAAAAAGGACACAAACACCCCGAAACATGTGAGACGTTTGGTGTTTGGAAGGGTTCTAAAAGGCGTTGGGATCCTTCCTTTTTTACTCCTTCAAGACCGTGAAACATCAACAGTTCTCTCTGTGGACTCTGTGGAACATGTGATCC